ACGCTTGGAAGATGAGAGTCTGCAAAGATCCATTCATCGAAAATCCACGTAGAATGGAGTAGTTTTTATCCAATCACTTACAAACAAGCATTGGTCAAAACTCTATTTCACAGAGGTAGAAGTATATGCTCCACATAAATACTGGAAGAAGAACTCCTAAACATTGAGAAAGTTTTGAAAAACAATGGTTATGCTCCTAACTTCACCAATAAGTATGGAAGATTTGAAAATTTAAAGGTGAAACAAACCACAGTGAATAAGAAACCTATCTTCATCTAACTGTATTTCAGAGGTGATAATATTTCAGGAGTACTTAATAGAAAACTGAAAACTTATCTAGCCAGAACTTGTCCTGCTGCCAAACTGGTTACCATTTAACGAACAACAAACTTTCTGATACAGTCAAATGTTGATAGTCACCCTTTCCATGTTAACTCTAATCTTGTATACAAATTTACGTGTATCTTCGGAAGCAGTTACATTAGGAGAAAAGAAAGAAGGGCATATCTTAGGTTTTGATTGGACACCAGCCAGTAACTGGTGTAGTGTGCCTAGTCCTTCGTTTGGTGCAGATTGAATTCTATCAATCAAGTTTGCAATGTGCCACCGTTCTAGGTGGCAACATCTCTGACTGCAGCACCGGGTGATGCGGGTTCGAATCTAAGAAGGGGCATGAGTTCCTTCAAGGTTAAAGATACTCCTTACTAACGAGTGCCAACTAGCACGAAACATAAGTCCAAGGCTTCCTGTCGATTGCCTCCAACTACCTAATATCAGCAATATAATAGATTCTCTGAACATGTGACAAAAAGTTTGTGTCCCAAGGGGACAAATGCTCTGAACAATGCTATTGCTAGACATTTTGTTGATACAGGCCATCAGGTGGAGAGAGTGAAATCTGTCAAGATTATTAATAGACAATATAACTCTCTTCTGCTCACATTTGCTGAGGAAATCGCAATTAAACGTTTGAAAACTGACTTATGTTAGATGGTTGGGGGCAATCGGTCACAGGAAGCCTTGGACCAAGATTTCGTGCTAGTTGGCACTCACCAGTCAGCAAGGCGTATCTGCAAACTTTAAGGAACATATGTCCCTTCTGAGATTCGAACCGGCGTCACCCAGTGATGCGGACAAAGACGTTACCACTGACCTATTCGGGCTGGCGACTGACCTCCTGTAGGACTGTGGTGGATATTTTGATTTGACACTAGTAACTAGTGTGATGTGTCTAGTCCTCTCATTGGTGCAGACTGAATTATATTATACAGGTTGTAATATGGCCACTATTCTAGGTGGCTCACCATCACGGGGCACGTTGATTTGATGATATTAGGTGGTTGGAGGCAATCGGCAGGAAGCCTACAGGAGGTCAATCGCCCGAATAGGTCAGTGGTAACATCTCTGACTGCAACACTGGGTGACGCCGGTTCGAATCTCAGAAGGGATATATGTTCCTTAAAGTTTGCAGATACGCCTTGCTGACTGGTGAGTGCCAACTAGCACGAAACCTTGGTCCAAGGCTTCCTGTGACCGATTGCCCCGTGATGGTGAGCTACCTAGAATAGTGGCCACATTACAACCTGTATAATATAATTCAGTCTGCACCAATGAGAGGACTAGACACATCACACTAGTTACTAGTGTCAAATCAAAATACCTGACTTATGTGTTCAGAAAGACTCACTTAATAGACTTTCTTTGCCTCTTAGTCCTAGTTGATTACACAATCTTTTGCTTTCAACCCCGCCCCCTCAATTTTGCCTTAGTGTAATTCAGTTCTTTTTGTTCCTATGAATTCAGTTAGACTCATGACACTATTACTCATCATCAACTTCTCTTCTCGTGTTTTAACTATTCAGAAGCGTGTCATTTTCGGCAGGCTTCTTTCAACTTTGCAGATAACTTTGAACGAATTCTCCTAACATGCTGAGTAACTAGTGGTAGCTGGGTGTTCGATTATAGTGCTACTTACTGAACCACTGTAAACTTTCTGCACCCAAAGAAGGATAATGTTCCGTAATTCTTTTAGATGAAATAAGCATAGAATGAATTATATATTCCGCTCCACAGGACGAAGCAAATTAGTACATACATAAAGAATTGGTCAAATGCGATAGTTTATCTTTAGAGTTATTGAAGAACATTGAGAGACATAAGAATGCCAACCTAAACGTAGAAGCAAAGTATGTTCTTTTCAGGACGCTTGATATTCTGATTATAATTAAGTCGGAATTAAAAGGTAGAATAAATAAGGAAATTAAATAGAAAGTAGAGAATTAAAGTGAATGGTAACATTTCACAGGAATCTAAGGTGTATTGATGCAAAGCTATGAGACAACAGGATAGTTAAAAAAACGACTAGAAATGATATTTTAGATAGAGAAAGGAAGACGAAATTTGTCAAGGGAACCAAATGTATGATATTTTAGTAGCTGAAGGATGTCGACAGGTACGCAAAATACGCTGTATGCTAATGCAAGTGTTTATTTGCCAACTCCTAAAGTATTTGTTCTACTTATACCAGAGGCAAATCAAATTGACAAGTCCATCGTCAAAATACAAGAAATATTTCGGGACCATAAGTGCAGAACAGTGATAACTGCCTAACTAACTAGGCGGCCTGCACGAAAGAACGGATGCAACACGAAAACGTGCTGAGTGGCCCCCAATACTTGACTACATGCCTACAGCTTAACCAGTTATTCCAAACAATGAAGATTAGCAGACAATGTTGAATGGACAATGTGATAGACTAATAATTTTGGTGAATTATCTACCTCCAAAATATACTCACGTTAAGTTCATTAATCAAGAAGATTAAGACGATAAAAATTCAGAGACAGAACTAACTTACAAATTGTACCTGTGAGTGATGAAGTTCGATCATTGTCTCTTTACAGATTGAAAACATCATATTTTAAACTACTAAATGTAGGCATTTTTGTAAATTGAAAGTATCTCCGCAATCTGTTCAGAAAGAACAGTAATTAGGACAAACAGTCGTTTTCAGAGAATTCCTCTTCAGGCTCTCTCTATATAAAAACCCATTAACTTTAGAATACACAACCTAGCAAAGGCAAATTAAAGTTATAACAGAAAGTGCATTGTGGAATAAATACAAAATGAATGGTGGCTAGAGGGTTTTCATTACAATTCAAATCCACATAAAATGTATGGTTAGTAAGAACATTAAACTAATGATACAAAAAAAGTTGAATGTGTGTGTGAATTTCAAATAAAAAGACTATGGGTTTCAAGAGATGAGGTGTTCTCAGTGTCTTAGTTTACATTGTACCATCGCTTTTAATTTTCTATTATTATTATTACTGTCTATCACCCTTCAATCCTACGTCTAGCGCACCCTGTTCGTTTGTTTATTTCACTATAGTAGTTATGCTGCCTCTCTGATTACAAAGCAATCCTTGGAATCTATGCTCCTCTTGTCCATAAATACAAAAACATATCATCTGAACTATTTCACTTCATTGTGCATCGGTGGCACAGTGGTTAGGACTCTCGCCGATCACGCATATGGTCTGAGGTTCGATCCCCTGCCAACTCACACCTGATATCTATGGTCGGCCTGCAAAATTTGGACTCCTGATATCCATGCTGAAAATTCCATACTTGTACCAAAAATACAGTGTGGAATCAAGCTGTAATCAAGAAAAAATCAAAAAAATTTTTTATCTCACGTTCTAATTGACTATACATTTTATGCAGACTTAAATGATAATCAAAACTCATTCACCATTATTCTACTTTGTACTTGCGCTACACTACGCTTTCTGATATAATGCTAATTTGCCCTTATTAAGTTTTGTATCCCAAAATTTTTTTTCTTTCCTTCACGTTCCCAGTGGAACATAGGGCTTCAAGCTAGAGGCCTGAAGTTTCTGTAGCAGTGTTGATTTTACAGGATGGGGTTGCTAGCCTCATGCCCAACCTTTCCTCTCTACCAGCTTTTATTATTACTGGCTTAGTGAGGTGAAGGAGTGCGTCGGTGGCCGGGGATTGAACCTGGACCATATGCATGGTTGGCGAGCGTCCTAACCGCTATGCCACCGACGCACACGTATTCCAAAATTAATGAATTTATAATTACAGAGCTTGAAGAAGAATTTCTTGCAAACAATGGTTTATTGTAATTTCTATAAATGTATAAGTTGTACTGATCATCGATTAATTCAGGAGAAATTCAGATAACAAGAAAGTGTTGATGGATTGGATGTATGGTACTTATTTAAAACAACATGTCCAAGAAGTAAAAACATCACATAGGTAACTGAAGTGAACATAACAATATGAAATAAAATTGTCATTTTCAGTGCATTTCTACCTCTGGAAATAGTTAATTCGCACATAACTATTGTGGAACTAACCCATGAAGGCTTGCAAGCGGTTTTTTAAACACCGAAGACCTCATGAGTTAACTTTCTCCCCTGAGTTATTCTAATGGATCAAACAGTATTTAGATGATTTATCAGGAGTTATTTCGTGTAAGAAATTATTAAAGCATTAATCATTTATGAATAACTGTAAGGTCAACAGACTTTTGTAGCCTAAAACAAACAACTATTTGGAAACAATCTGTGTACTGCTAATAGGCTTTTGTGCTATAAATATTTGGTCATTAAATTTATATACGTCCATAATCTAAATTTTTACCGAATTAACAAAGTTGAGAAGAAGAAAAAGCTATTGTTAACAAATAGATAGAAGCATTTATTATTGATTTTGTCTCCCCTAAAAAAAGATACTTTAATATTAAGGACACCACACTATTCGAATTCTTATTGATACATTCCAAAAAAATGACATAAGCGCAGACTGATTGTGTAATCAAGTATCGTCCAATAAGCTGTAACAATTAATAATTTGACCTTAAATTTTAAGAAAATATTCCTTATCAGTGGTGAAAAATATCTGACGATTATTTTATTTCTAGCTAATTATAGTAAACTTGATTTAGATAAGAACAGGTGGATAGCTTAACCATGGATAAAAATTTCCCAGTTATCAGTACTCAGCCGGGGTCAATAATTTATCGTGACTGGAACGATGGATTATGTGGTTGTGGAAATGACTGTCATATATGTGAGTTCCTAATGCTTGTTATTTTGTTGCCTAGTTTATCTAAGAAACTGTTATTCAGGCATTCTAAGAAAACTGTGGAGAATTTATTCTACAGTTGTCTATAATATCTCAGACATGTTATCGGTGTGAACTACGCAGACGTATTTTGTAAATTAGATATTAAGCAGGTGACTTAGCTTTTGAAATATAGAGTGTTACAGTAAGAGGCATTGATTAAACTCAAGATGGACTTAGGTGAGTTGTAATTCAATGTATTCACCAGCAGCGGCTTCACACCTGTTGGATGTGACGTTAGTTCATCACTTATATTATTAAATAGACCTCTCAATATAGTACAAACAGATAAAAGTTAGAGGATTTGAGTTATGGGATTTTGTTTAAACTATATATGGCTGGTGGAATTCAGCATCTCAGTGAATAACGCTCCACAGTTTGCTTGAAGTGTGTTAGCTTCAAAAGTCATAGGTAATACTATAATTCTGTGAGATGCTGCTACGTTCAGCTTTTCATCCTTAATTGAGATGAAAAGTTTAACCTTACTCTCACTCCTCGTCAGTAAGTTTCTTAAAAATCTCATGCTTAAGTGGAAAGTTATCCAGTTTAAACACTGTGGGAATAGGTATTTGTTCGCGTTCTGTGAAGAAACTATTAGTTTAACGAAAGCTTTTACATTCTGATCTCGTTATTAATTGTATAATATGGCTATATTACTGAAAAATAATATTTTGACGTAACTTTTGAAGTTAGACTAAAGTTAAAATATGCATATCTAATGATACTTGTTATAATTCTATGCTCCACATTTTATTCAGTACCCCATATTGTCGAACAATTGAATCAAATTCTAATTACAGTTCATATAAAATGTATTAGATTTAAAACAATAAAACATATTTTACTTTTTAAAAATTTCTACTGTTCTTGATATGGTATATCTGAATTTCACAAACATTTAACTCGATTTATACGCATAGCCTGCTAATCCACTTCTATTTAGGGTTTTTCTTCAAATTACATTATACTGATATAATCTAAATTATACCAAATGTTAAAAGAATTGGACTCACGTTTATAGAAGATTAAACTGTTCTCATTTTTGCAGTATATTTAAAAACAGTCACACTTACCTAAGAATAATTTATACAGAAGTTATCAAACTACTTGTTTAATGATTGATAGAGGCCACATGCAATCAACACCTGTGATGTACTACTTGGGAAAGTTTTGAGAAAAACATTTGACTACTGAAGCCGTCATCAGTAGTAAAATGAGTAACACAAAAACAAGGTGAATTTCCCAAGAAATTAAAATGATTAACTTTGGGTTTATACAGTAAGAAATAATATGTATAATATGATTAGATAAGACTAAGATAAGCAGGAAATGCACCTTAAAAATTTGATGACAGCTATGGATATCGTTCTTTTTCTTTTAGCATCCGTTGTCATAACTAATTACAGCATACTTTACTATTTGATATTTCGAAAGTTATTCTAAGAATGATGGATGAACCTTCATCGCTTATCACTGCCTCACGCTTCATCAAGCAGCGGTCTTTTCTCATTCTACCATTTTAGCCACCTATAAAAGTTTATAGCCAAACTAGGTGAACTACTTCATGTGTCATGAAGATTCACATTCTATTATGTTATCCCTTTTCATTTATATGATGTCCACTTTTTGTAAGGCTGTTATCAAGACGTTTGAATTTGGTCTGGTAATTATATAGATTTACTATTCGAAGAACTGTATGAAGCTGCAAGAGAACCAAATCTCATGGTTATTTTAATTTACATACATTACAGTGAAGACAAACGACTTCAGACGTCACGAGAAGGCAGTGCGCAGATATTCCTTGAATCTCTAACAGAAATAGAAAATTCATATAACTGTGGTTATACGCCATAAACAACATGTGTGACCTGAAATGTATTCCCAGTACTTCACGATAACTCATTATTCAACACAAATTTGATTTATGGTATAATTTCACTAAGACTGTCAGCTAAAATGAGAATTTTATCAACCAAATATACTGAAAATTGACAATTAACTCGTTCCATTAACACCCGTAATTTGTAGCTGCATTTGTGTTAGTCAACAGTCTACTTATCATGTCATTTATATATGTCACAATCAGAGCCTAAGATGACTGAATTCATCTGCAATCATGTGACAGTTAATAAAAAAGTCTAAAATGGATTAAGCTGACAACGTTTACCTCATAAACGTGAAATATTCTGGGGGTATCATTTAGAAAGTGCATCGGTGGCACAAGGGTTAGGACGCTCGCCGACCATGCACATGGTACCGGGTTCGATCACCGGCCAACTCACTCCTTTACCTCGCTAAGCCAGAAATAAGACTGGTAAAGGGGAAAGGTTGGGCATGAGGCTAGCAACCCCATCCTGTAAAAATAAACACTGCTACAGAAGCTTCAAGCCACTAGATTGAAGCCTTATGTTCCACTGGGGAACGTGAGGGAAAAATAATATTAAAAGTAAAAACTATCATTTAGAAACATAAATGTGTCGATAAACTAATAAGAAACGCATTTGCATTAAAAAATACGCTTCATACCATTCTACTAAATATACCCTCGCTGTCTGAAATACGAGAAAAGTTTCTTTAGCTCAGCACGATGATAAATATTATTTAGTATCTGTCCTACTGAATTTGAAATTTGTTTATAACAATTTCATAAATTAGATTGGTGATAACTCCATTTTAGATAAGATTTTATTTTGACAGAACACAGAGTGTTATACAAAATATTAACTGATGACGTTTCGAGCACAAACTATTGCTCATAATCAATAACACTCATATTAATAATTCTGAATGTACATTATCCTATATTAATATTTTATTCAAATGTCTTATCAGTTTTACTCATATATATAAATGAAGCGCGTCAATGACACAGCGGTTGGGACTCTCACCGACCATGCACATGGTCCGGGTTTCGACCCTCTGCCGACACACACTTGATATCTATGGTCGGCCTGCGAAATTTGGGTACCGATATCACATGCTGAATTTCATATTTGCACCAAAATACGGTGTGAAATCAAGCTGTAATCAAAATAAAAAAAAAATTGTGTAACTTGATTGATATGAGCAATAGTTTGTGTGTAGTGTCATCAGTAAATATTACTGTACAACACTGTGTGATTTATCAAAATAAAATCTTGTCTATAATGGAGTTTACTCTACCACAATGTCCAAGTTTTATACTATATGTTGGTGATATTTCAGTGCTTAATTCGATAGAAAGTCATATATATATATATATATATATATATATATTGATTTTTGATTTACAGCTTGATTCCACACTGTATTTTCGGTACAAGTATGGAATTTTCAGCATGGATATCGGTAGCCCAAATTTTGCAGGCCGACCATAGATATCAGGTGTGCGTCAGTGCGGGCTCGAACCCGGACCATAAGCATGGTAGGCGAGAGTCCTAACCACTGTGCCACCGACGCATATATATTGAAAATAAATTTGTTCATTTGTTTACCACTGAATCAATGTTCTCGTTTAGTATTCATTCATTCGTTACTTATTTATTTATTCATTACTTAGGCGATATTCACACATCCTTATTTTCTGTCTTCATCTTGATCACTTCTGATTTTCCTGAATACTTCACTGCATTAAGGACTCCCTGATACTGTAAACTTAAAAGTGTTCTGTCAAATTATGATGACCCTTCAATAGTCATCATAGTTTTGTTTGCGGCAAAGTGTAAGCGATATTTAGTTGTGTTTTTTTTCAGTATGTTATATTATGCTTATGTCACAAAGGAGTATTGAACGAACTTAGTAATAATAAAATAGCAATCGTGACTTTCTTATAAACTTAGAAAATTCACTGTTTGTTTTCATCATGGTGAATATTTGCTAAAAATTATTTCTCAAGTTGTTTTTTGTCAGTAATTTATTAATAATTAAGTAATTCTTTTAACTTGAAAACTGTTCCTAATCTTGATTCCTAATGAAATCAAGTTTTGTTTACTTACAGGTTGTTGTGTATTCTTTTGTTATTCGTGTCAAGTGTGTTTGATGTATCGAGATTATGGTGAATGTTGTTGCGCACCACTAATTGTACCGGCTGCTGAATTTGTGCTTAGTACGCAGCATCGAGGACGTCAACGAATAAAAGTAAGTTTACAAAAAGGATATTGTTTGGAAGACGACAACTGGTCTAGTTTGACTAAAATTTAGTAAACACAACATAATCGAGCGAAGAATATTCTTTTCAATAAATTCCTCTTCAGACTCTACAATTATATACATGTTTATATACACAGAATATTCAAGGTTGGTAGTTAATAACAATATTAGTGTTTTTTAAATAATATCGATTTGTAAAGCAAGATCAATGCAATTACAGTTCACTAAAAATACTTAAATTATAATAGTAATAAAGATATAATAGCGAGTAGGATATCAACTACCTACCTTGGCCATCTAGGTTTGAATGATTCTCAATTTTTGTAGAAATTTCCTAATTTTAGTTGATATCCTACTCGCTATTATATCTTTATTACTATTATAATTTAAGTATTTTTAGTGAACTGTAATTGCATTGATCTTGCTTTACAAATCGATATTATTTAAAAAACACTAATATTGTTATTAACTACCAACCTTGAATATTCTGTGTATATAAACATGTATATAATTGTAGAGTCTGAAGAGGAATTTATTGAAAAGAATATTCTTTGCTCGATTATGTTGTGTTTTATAGATTTCTGAATGAATATTTTTGCTATATTAAAATTTAGTAAATGTAAATTATGCAGGAGAACTAATATCACAGCCAGCAGGATGCATAATTGTAGACTCTAGTAACTATAATAGTGATCAGAGAGTAAATTAACCAGGTAAATAAAGCTAATCGGGGACTATATCGTGTAAGTGTTACTAAACTAGCCAGAATCTATGCACTTGCAAATTTAGTACAAGCAATTTAGACTGACACATTTTTTAACAGGCATTCGCCTGAATGACTTACATACTAGTAAGTATACAAGTCGGCTAAAATAACTTTAGTTATAATTTTGTAATTAGCACTGATGTAATTTATTTGATGACTTACGTGCTACTAGGCAAAACTCTAATAAATTATTGATGTGTCTTGTACATTTTTTAAAATCCGTCTAACTCTTCTAAACAGAACAGCAGATTTACTGGTGATGATCAAGATTTAAATTTGCTGTTCTTTAAATTTTATGCAAGTATATATATATATATATATATATATATAATAAGTTTTCAGACCGTAGGTGTTGCGAACTTCCTGGAATAATTTGAGCGCCGAGTCAGATTGATTCATTATAAATTATTTAAGTTAGTCCCAGCGTGTTTAAGAAAATCAAAACAAGAATTTTCTGCGGGTTTTGCTGTGTAAGCCACAGCTTCTTCAGCAGATTTATTCGGATCTTTATTAATCATCAAAAGAAGACGAAATTATGGCAAGTTTTGATGTGGTTTCTCTATTTAATAGTATTCCTATATGTGATTCACTTGACGTTATGAAATATGAACTTGAAAACAATCAGGAAGTATTAGCCAAATCTTTATTATCAATAGATAAAGTTATAAAATGTCTAAAACTTTGTTTAGAATCTACGTATTTTACCTTTAAAGGCAAACTATACTGTCAGACAAATGGAGTTGCAATGGGTTCACCAGCATCTCCAATTGTAGCAAATTTATACATTAAAGCCCTAGAAAAGAAAGCATTGACAAGTTTTAGTTGTCATCCTAGAATGTGGTACAGATATGTAGATGACACGTTTATCATTATAAAGAAAGCTGATAAAGAAAAATTTCTAACAGAGATTAACTTAATCTCATATTATATAGTGTTTACTAATGAAGTAGATACGGCTGAGGAAACTCTAAACTTTCTTGATTGTCTTGTAACAGGACAAACTGACGGTAAACGAAAGTTTATCATATACAGAAACCGACAAATTCCAACAAGCATTTGAATTTCCAATCAGACCATCCCATAGGAATGAAAGTTTCAATAGCTTTAAATCTCGTTAACACAGCTAGAAACATTATAATAGATAATGACGATGTGGAGAACGAGATATCCAATATAAAACAAATTTTGATTGGAAATGGTTATCCGAAAAGCTACTAGATAATATTATGAATAAAAAGGAGCATAAGGGAAAACAGAAAATTGAAAAATCTCGGCTGTCGACGGTAGCCATTCCATATCGAAAGGACACAGCTAAACAACTTCAAAGACTATTTACTTCATATAATATTAAGATCTATTGCAAGCCCCCTCATTCTCTAGAGGAAGCTTTGGTGAATGTCAAGGATATGGCTCCCAAAATGTCACAAAGTAATTGTATCTATAGGATAAAGTGTTCGGAATATGAAGCATGCCATATGGGGGAGAGCAGTAGACAGGTGAAGGTCAGAGTGAATGAACAGAGACTATGCACAGAATATCCACCTAGAAATGAAGTAGAATTACAGAAGCCTAGAAAAAAGATCGGCTACAGCAATGCATGCGATAGACAGCGGACATAAGACTGATTTCGACAGTGTCAAAATTCTTGGAAGAGGATTTCATTCACATAAAGTAAGGTTGACCTCTAAAGCCATGCATATTTTAACCACATCAAATGCAGTGAATAGGAAAGAAGGGATGGACTTTTCACATACATGGAAATTCTAATTAAGCAAGACAGATGAAAAAAAACCTCTATTAACCTCCATGACTTTTATAAAAAGTATTATCATGTGCATCACATATGAACTGACGTCTCTTCCATATGAAGAATAACATACACTCACACACACTCATACAAACAAATATACACAGTAACAATTTGACAGCTGCGGAGCCAGCTATATCGGGCGTACAATTAGGCAGGTTCATCATCTTATTTCCGAACATCATCCAGCATGGTTAAGCAAGGGACGAACAGGATCTATTCTTAGATCTATTTTAGCACACCTTGTAGATAGTGAGCATAAGGTTGACGTTAATACTGAATTTAAAATTATTTATCGCATTCCTACTAATCTTAATTTTGCTTAACGAGTTCGTCTTCTACATACAGCTGAAGCAATAGGAATCCACCTGAAGAAGCCAAATTTGATAGTAGTCATTACAAATATATGATGACTGCTTACATATTTCTATTGGTACAAGTGTGTATGGGCAAATGACATTCAGATAAACTGACTTCAATTTATGTAAAAAATTTCGACTATATATTTTGATGATTAGTAAGAACTCGAATAAATCTGCTGAAGAAGCTGTGGCTTACACAGCGAAATGTACAGAAAATCCTTGTTTTGATTTTCTTAAACACGCTAGGATTAATTCAAATTATATATATATATAAGTTTATTAAACGAAGTAGGCATTCGTTGAGATATGCTTACTGCTCCATAGATATAAGGCATATATCATCCTGGAGACTGATAATTCGATTTAAGAGGTGTTGGAGTTTGTGCATTTTTCAAATCATAACTATAAATTCACGGAACCTAAAAGAGTCAGTTTCCATGGAAACAATCAATGGAGGAGTGTAGACCTCAAGGTGAATTTCGCTAGAAAATTTGTTAGTTAAGAAGGTTTCAATATGCATTCATTAATTTAGACATCGTATGTAAGGCGACTTACATGGTAGTTTAAATCATACCATGGCAAGAGATGATGTATAGTAATAACTGTTGGACCTTTTTTAAGAGACTCACTATCAATTCGACTTCTAATTGATCCCAGGACATTTAAGTTTTGCATTAAAAATATTATTATTCATTTGGAAAGCAGAAGTAAAATGCTTCAAATTTATCTTTTTCTACTATTCAGCATGTTCATATCAATATTTTATCATTATGTTATATTGGACATTTATATCGAAATGAGCCTCACGCTTGGTTCATACGGGACTGACGGAATGCATTGTTGGTGATACCTAAAACACAATAAAGAAGACATCACCACCACCCTAATGCTTTGATTGGTTTCAACGATTTCTACTAATTGTTTTACCTCAGAACAGCTAAATGTAAGAATAAAACAATAAAGACAGAAATTCAGGAAGATAAGATAAAAATTTCAAGTACATTCTTTAAATAAGTGGTGATCAGAATTTTTAAATAAGCAGTACAGGTCAAAGTAGCAAAACTCAATGAATAGTACTCCTAGTCTTTGTATTCCTCTATTTGTAATGATGAAGGAGAACCAACCAGTTTTATGCACATTTCGAGAACGATCTGAATAATTTGTTTGTCTTTAAGATTCATAACACACCTAGGTAGGAAGCTTCCATGATGTCTATCCTGTTCTTTACAGCCTTCACTTCATGTTCAGTGATTCTACCAAAGCAAATTTTTTTTGTGATCTCTTGAAAACCAAATTCTGAAAACATTCCTTTCACACCACACGATGATGAAGTTTCTAAACTATATATACATTTCCAATCATGATAGCTATCTGAATATGGATTTTTCTCCAGATTCGTTAAATCTTTTTTAATGAAGATACATTTAAAAATCTCAGGGCATCATTTTCTTCACATTCTCGTGCAAAACTATGATCCAGGTGATATGGTGTGAAGCCCTATGATAACAGTACTAATGATAACAACAACAATACTTTCCCCCTAGATTTGTTTTCATACGGTATAAAAATGTCTTCTGAATATCCACGATATATTTCCGTCTATTTTATGCATCTTCTATTGCTAAATTCTGAAGCATGAAATGACCGTAGGCGCTTTTTACTGCAAAACTATCGACTTGAACGGAATTTCTCGTCAGGAATTGGAACTGAAAAGTATTAGTACAAAAAAGAATAGGTACAAGAGTAAAGGGAACATATCAATTGATGGTATGTATCACTAAAGTTGTATACACCACTAACTACTTGACTTTTGCCCAGTAAGTATTTCATCCTGTGACATTAAAATTGCTATTCTATAATAAGACAGCTTATTTGAAATTGCAACTTGTCATATCTTAATTATTTTTGTTCAACGAAACTTTTTACAGGGTGGTATTGCATCGGATTGCTGTCAGTGGATCTGGTGTTCTTCCTGTTATGTGTGCAGACTTCGGAGGGATATGAATTATACGCTGAGTCAATTAGGCACTTTAAATTAAAAAAAGAACATGTC